TATAACAAATACATCAGAATATTTATTGTACATGTTTCAAGCCTGGTTGACAGTGGTTTCAATCCCCAGCCTAGCTGTCCAACTGCTCATAGTTACCATTTCTAATATTGGCTGCCAGCTAATAATAATTTTTCTGATACAACTGCCATCTGGGTGTGCACTATGATCAGACTATAATTAAAACAAGACTAAACTCTTCCATTCAACATTAAAGTTACTAAACCCACAACAGTAAAATCAGTCTGTATATGCAGTAAAGCGTGCTTGTTATACTCACTGTGAAAATTTAAGGGGTTAATCCTCCACAATGTGTAAAAACGCTGTTTGATCCTGTCTTCTCTGATCCTCCTCTCTTCTTCCGCAGTCTCCAATCCATCTGCTGATAGTACAGAGCCTTAGGATGCACTCTGCACATGCTCAGTTTGGTGTGTAATACTAAAGAGGTTTTTTTATTTATGGGAGGGTGAATGTGATCAGCACAGGGCCAATCACCACTGTCCAGACAGAGGGTCAGGGGTCAGGGAGAATGACTCATCCTACAAGTTTTGACCAGACACTGTTAGAAGTCACAAGATTGCTGTAACTGTTGAAGAAAAAATGTATTTAGCAGTTTATATTTACTAAAATAATTGCATTTCCATGTTCTGTGTACTGAGGGAGACCAGATATAGTGAATGCAGGGTCCTGGGTTTAGTAACACTTTAACTATGTTTAATTCTTATGCTGCCAACCTTAGTAAATAGATAGGAAAGTATATTATATTTACTTGCTTTAAACTTTTTTCTACATTCCTTTAGTTGCTTCCTGGTTTTTAGTCTAGACCAAAATGATGTCATACGTCCTGGAGTCTTCAGGAGCATTTTTTTCTTTTATCTGGAGGAGGGGAGGAGGCCCTCCTGGCTGCATGCCTGAGCTAAGGGCAGATGGATTCCACATGACTTGGGAGGTGGGATGGAGGGGAGGAGGGAATCCCTTCAGGCCCATGTAGTTCTCATCCATAAGGAGGGAAAAGATCCCTCTCAGTGCTCTAGTTACAGGCTGAAAGATCTAATGCCCGAATGGATCCATGGAGACCAGGTGGGCTTTGTCCAGGGGAGAGAGGGTAGAGATAATGGTTTGAGAACTCTGATGCTTATCCAGAAAAGTAGAAAAGGGAAAGCCCCCGATGCTTTTGTCAATTGATGCCGAAAAGGCGTTTGATAGAGTGGACTGGGGCTTTATGATGGACAACTTGGAAGTGTTGGGGATTGGAGAGAGAATGCGTGAATGGATAGGTAAACTATATAAGGAGCCAACCGCAATCATCACGGTAAATGGGGAGAGGTCGGAAATCCATTGGGATGTCCAATGGAACAAGGCAAGGATGCCCATTGTCCCCCTTGCTGTATGTATTGACATTGGAACCCCTGCTATCAATAATAAGGAATAGTGGAGCGGTAAAGGGAATCCAGATAGAAAATATAGAACACAAAGTAGCGGCCTTTGCAGATGACTTACTGTTTTATGTAGGCAACCCCCGAATAACTCTACCAAATATAATGAAGACCCTGAAGGAATATGGTGAACTATCTAATCTAAAAATTAATCCAACAAAAACTGAGATTTTGAACATTAATATACCAAAGAGCGAAAAAGAAAAGCTACAAAAAGAATTCCCCTTTATTTGGAGAGAAAAAGATATAAAATACCTAGGAATAAAACTTGCTACCTCATATAAACAACTGTATAGATTAAACTATATTTCTCTGATAAATGAGATTAAGGACGAACTAAAAAGATTATAAGGAGGAAATCCATCATGGTTAGGACGTATGAACCTAATTAAAATGGTAATTATCCCTAAAATATTGTATAGATTTTAAATGATCCCGATCAAACTCCCAGAGGTGTTTTTTTAAAATAATGAGAAAAATGTTAACAAGATATATATGGAGGAATAAAAAGCCAAGAGTATCATATGAAACACTAAGTAGGACTAAAGAGAAAGGGGGGATGGGACTACCTGATGTCAAGAGATATTACAAAGCAGTAAATTTTAGCAAGAATCTATGACTGGACTTTTAATCACAAGGGGAAAAGTTGGGTAAAAATAGAGAATGATCTGAGTGGAATTAATTTGAGTAAGATGATATGGGTTCCAGCACATTATAGAAGAATTAAAGAGGGCACAAGCACTTACACTTTAATGGTTTTAAGGGTATGGGATAATTTACACAAACACATGAAATGGGAATTCAACTTTATATTAATGCCTCTTGCAAACACGGAATTTTTCCCCCCAGGAAAAGATGAGATATCAGGGAGATGGTTTAAAAAGGAAGATATCCAATTGAGAGACGTATTGGTAGAGGGGGAATTGAGAACATTTAAAGAATTAAATGAGATGGGAGGAGATATGTTTACTAAAATAGATGAGTGGAAATATCATCAATTGAAATGTTTTATAGGAACTCTCCCAAAACCCTTGAGATTAAAAAAGGAGTGGAATATGTTTGAAAGGCTACTAGAAACACGTAGAGATGGGAAACATGGTGTTACAAAAATGTATAGAATACTTACAGAACTAGACACAGACACAAAGTTAATTTTTATAACAAATTGGGAAAGAGATATGGGGGTGGGGATAGATGAAGATCAACAGAATAAGATATTTAGACTAATTCACGAGTGTGTTAGTATGAGAGAAGTTGAGATTAACTATAAATGTTTGACACGATGGCATATTACACCGAGCACTGAGCACAGGATGAGGGGGGAGAATTCAAAAATGTGTTGGAGAGGATGTGGGGAAGAGGGCACGGTGTTTCACATATGGTGGCAATGTCCAAAAATCCAGGTTTTCTGGAAGACAATAGTCAAATTAATAGAAATAATAACTGGAAATGACATAGGATTAGACCCAACCATGTGTCTCCTACATAGTGTTGAGACAACAGTAAATAAATATAAAGAATCAGGTGTATGGTACTACTTGAGTGCTGCAAAAGGGTTGATCCCCAGGTTTTGGCGGAGGATAGAGGTGCCAACGGAGGAGGATTGGATCAATAGGGTAAACCAGATTAGCAGAATGGAAAAATCTTATCATATTCAGGAAGATAGGATGAAAATATATTATTTACGATGGGAAAAATCGGGATTGAAAGAGAAATATAGAAAACTCTAAATTAGGAAGTTATTCGAAGTTACTGGGCCCAGAGGGATTGGAGATTTTGCAGAGGGGAGGGAGGGGGGAAGGGGGGAAATGATGGGAGGGGAGGGAAGGGAAAGAAAAGAGGTAAATAGAAGGAACAGAGTAGAAATGTAGTGATATTTTTATGTATTGTGTCTCTTTTTATGGAATATTTGTAATAATGTGAAAAATCAATAAATATTTAAATAAAAAAAAAAAAGAAATGCACAGCATCGTAGACTAGGATGGCAAGGCACTCCCCTGTCCCTCCCTCTTCCTCCCCTCTCCCTTCAAGCTAGATCAAGGCTGCACTGTTAACAGTGGTGTATTTAGGTTTCCTGCTGCCCTAGGCAACAAAACAATTGGCTCCCCCCCCATGGAGAGACCCTGACACGGACCAAAACCCCCCAACCCCATGAAGAGAGCCTGACGTTGATCAACAACACCCTAGCCCCCGCCCCCACCCGAGAGAGCCTTCTGCTACCATCGCCCCCCATACACTGGCCACCCCCCTACCCCAGCGAGAGAAAAAAAGACACTCACCTTCACAGCTCTGGATATCCCCAGGGACAAGAAGTGGGCTGTGCATATATCATCAAGCAGCTCGCAGTCTCTCTCGGATCCCACTTGGCCCCCATGCTATGTGTCCCCCTTCTTCTGGGGGATGGTGATGCCCCCCTAAAAAATGCCACTGCCCCTCTGAAAAAAGTTGCCCTAGGCCTTGTTTGCCTTGTGGTAAATATGCCCCTGACTGTTAACTCTTTCCTGTGAAGACTGGACATTAGGAAAAACAGCAATGAGAGAACAGGAACCAAAACAAGGAAAGATGTAAATGGTAAGTTCTGGGCTAAGAATTTTAACAAATAATTTACTGGGGGTGTTTATTTTAATGTGCCCAATGTGGTTAAAACCCCCTAAGGGTTTAATACTACTTTAAGTGATACATTTTCCGAAAGCAGAACACCTATAGAATTGAAAAAAAAAAATGGAAGTCTTGATTAATATAGTGCATACAACACAATATATACATTTTTCTCAAAAAAAGCTTTTCTAAACTAACAAAATAAATTTTTATATATTGCAGCTTACCAGTCCTTTTTTAGGATTTTTTCCTTTTTTTTCACTTAGCGATTCTTTGAATAATAACACACTTCCTGCCCCTTCATGTGAACACATTTTCTCCATGGTATCCATGGAAGGAGTCTTTGTTGTCACACAGGCTGGACATTAAACTTGTCTGCATTTGTTCCTCTCCATTACGTGGTGGATCAATGAGGCTCGTAGTTTACACAAAAAATGAGTTTGTACTTTCTTTTAAGCTCACAGGAAGTTACAAGGATACTGCATTTCTGGCAAGATCAAGTCTTTTCTCCACCAATTGAAAATGTCCTTAGCTTGAAAAGTAAAAACTAATGCAGCCACCACATAAGGCCTATTAAGCTGCGATGTCAATTTTTTTTGTGGTTCTAAAGGCTGAAGGTTTTTTTTGTCCCAATGCATTCTCTGCATTAGACCTTCAGTATCCCCCTTATACTTACCTACAACTGTTCTTGATCCATTCTCTGCATTAAAGTGTTACTAAACCCAGGACCCTGCATTCACTATATCTCGTCTCCCACAGTACAAAGAACATGGAAATGCAATTATTTTAGTAAATATAATCTGCTAAATACCTTTTCTCATCAACCATATATAGCGGTCTTGTGACTTATATCAGTGTTCAGCTGAGCACACGTTAAAGCTTGTAGGAAGAGTTTTTCTTTCTGCTCTAAGAGGATGCAGAACCCCTGACCTCTATCTGGACAATGCAGATTGGCCCTGTGCTGATCACATACACTCTCCCAAGCAAAAAAAAAAAAAACCTCTCTACCAGTACACACCCAAACTGAGCATGTGCAGACTGACTCCACACGATATGTCTTATCAGGAGATAAGAGGGGGACACTGGAAAAAGAAGATCAGAGAAGACAGTATCAAACAGCTATTTTACACAATGCAGAGGATTAACTTAGGTTCCACAGTGAGTATAACAAGCATGCTTTACTGCATATACAGACTGATTTACTGTTGTGGGCTTAGTAACACTTTAAGGTAAAAAACCTTCAGTATCTCCCTTATACAGGACAATCATTTGGTTGGTTGCAGGTTGGTTGGTAAGTTGAACTGGGAATTTTTGTTTTGTTGTTGTGTGACATGTGAAGTCAATCTCCCCGACGCGTCGTACCTTGAAAGGTTGTCGATAGCCCCTGGCTATCAACATGCATTGCCCTTCCATGTGCTCCTTGATGTGAGGCCAGTTATAGATTGGGGCAGTTGCCATTTGTTTGTACTGTTGATATACTGGTGAGGGGACGCACTGGACACCTTGACTGCCATTGTGCTACATACTGGGTGTCCAGTGCGCTCCTGTACCTTTAAGGAGGGATGGGCTCCCTCCAGGCTCACCTGCCCTCAGTCTATCCATTATTATACATGTGCTTCTACTATGGAGGCTCACAAAATTATAGAGTTAGGAATGCAAAAATAATGGGGGTGCCGTGAAGGGGCTCTGCAGCTTACACATGCACATGCAAATATATGCAAACTAAACCCATGTTTTTAAAGCAAACTTTAAACAAGACAATAATTGCATTTCCATGTTCTGTGTACTGAGGGAGACCAGATATAGTGAATGCAGGGTCCTGGGTTTAGTAACACTTTAACTATGTTTAATTCTTATGCTGCCAACCTTAGTAAATAGATAGGAAAGTATATTATATTTACTTGCTTTAAACTTTTTTTCTACATTCCTTTAGTTGCTTCCTGGTTTTTAGTCTAGACCAAAATGATGTCATACGTCCTGGAGTCTTCAGGAGCATTTTTTTTCTTTTATCTGGAGGAGGGGAGGAGGCCCTCCTGGCTGCATGCCTGAGCTAAGGGCAGATGGATTCCACATGAATCATCTGCCCTTACTCAAGATGTCCATTGCTATAAGTGCTAGAGAATGCTTTTCAAAGTGACTATTCAGCAATATAAAGCATGGAGACATGGGTGGCTGAGTTTGCTTTGAATATTAAATATGAATTAAATAATGTTTTCAGTTTGTAATGCTCAGATACAGTTAAAGGCTGAAGGTTTTACCTTCATGCATTCTATGTATGAAAGTAAAAAATCTTTTGTGTGCTGCTCCCACCACAGTCCCCCCTTATACTTGCCTGAACCCGATCTCGATCCAGCGCTGTGCATGAGAGCAGTGGTTCTCCCGGGTCTCCCTCTTCTCATTGGTCTAGACACAGGAGTGGGTCAAGTGTGTCAATCACAGCCGTGCTTTATGTGTCTATAAGTGGGGCTTGGGAATGACCACGCACAAGTGCTCACATAGCAAGCAGGCTTGCTATAAGGGCACTCAGCAGGGGGGAGGGACCAGGAGTGGTGGCAGGGGACCGAAGAGGAGGATTGGGGCTGCTCTGTGCAAAACCATTACACAGAGCAGGTGCAATAAGTATGATATGTTTATTATTAAAAAAAAAAAAAAACTGAGGCTTTACACCCTGGTCACTGATCCGACTTTGAAATCACCTCACTTGAAGTGCAATTTGCAAGACATCTGTGGCTTACAAGACACAGATGTCTATGCAAGTCGCACCTGAAGTAGTGCATTCAGAACTTTAGAAAATTGCTCTGTCCAAGTCCGAATCGCTCTGATATGACCAGGGGCGGACTGACAACTCATGGGGCCCCCGGCAATAGGGGAATATGGGGCCCCTGTGTCCTTGCCCAAACTCAAAAAAGCCAATGAAAAAGGTACCAGGGGCATCTCATGGGGCCCCCTACTGACCCCGGGCCCTCGGGCAGTGCCGAGTTTCCAAATTGTCAGTCCGCCCCTGGATATGACTGCTCTAATTGTGGACAATAGGGTATGACTTGCCATGTGATTTTCAACTTGCATGGCATGGCAAATCGAATGGCAAGTCGCACCTGGTGTGAACGGGCACCTAATGTTATTTTAAAGTTCACCTTTTTGAAAAAAAATATTAAATGCACATTTTTTTGCAGGTAATTATTTTTGTCTACAGGAGCTTGCAAAGCATTGCACCAGCGATCAGTAGATCACTGGTGCCATGCAGGTCTCCTGCAGACCTGTCAGTATATCTGCTTGCCATATGGGATGTACAAACAAGCAGATATTCTGACAGGAAGAATGAATGAACTACCGTGGTGCTTCACAACGCCGTGTTAGTTCATTGAGGACTACAAGGCGACAGCCGCAAAGGCTCCCGGGACTTGTAGTCTCTCATTCACAGATGACAGCGAATGAGTGACATGAGTGGCATTTTTTTACAAATTTGACAGCTAGTGAGGGGGGAGAAGATCACCCTTACAAAAATAAATGACAGTTGATCATTGTAAGCACCCCGTTAGTGTTAAATGGCTTGTCTCAGCCCTGTAACTGAGAGCAAAGATTACTAAAACCTGTGCACTCAGATTCTGGTGCAGCTGGGCATGGCAGCCAATCATTTTTCACTTCAGTTTGTTCAATGAGTCCTTATGCACACGGGATGTTTTTACAGCAGCTGTTTTTTTGGCTTTTGATGTTTTTTTCTACAGCCAGTAAACCCCCCAGCATGTTATCCTATGTGTCCATGCACACAGAATGTAATCAGCATGTTTTGACTGGGACATTTTTTGGCTGGAAAAAAAAACACAGGACTAGTGGGTTTCTAGAGGTGTTTTTTTTTAGCTGTAAAAATGCTCTAACGCGGTAAAACACTGCAAACCGGAGTTTTTGGACATTTTTTTGGCCCAAAAAAACTTTTTTTGGTAAAAAAACACGCTAAAAATGCAAACGCGGAAAAACACGGGAAAATGCCGCTAATTGTGGGAAACCTCCGCTAAACACTAATGCAAAAGCGCTAAAAAAAAGCTGAAAACCTCAGATTTTTAATGTGACTTTACATAGCTAACGTTACCAGTGTTATCAAAAAATGTGTATGAGGGCTGAAGCTTTGGCAATAAAACCTGGAACTTGGTTTCTATGCAGAGCTGCAACAGATTCTGCACCATGCAGTTTTAGTAAATCAACCCCATTTTGTTGCAGAGCTTGTTCTTTTGAGAAGCCACAGACTTACTGGCTGGATCACCAGTATAAAAAAGAAGAAAGAAAGCCTAAAAAAAAAAAAATGCAGCCATCACATCTAATGCTGCCATTGTGCTATATGCTGGGTGTTCTTTGCAGTCCTGTACCTTTAAGATGGGTGGGCTCCCTGATGTGCACCTGCCCCATGTCTATCTTTTAAATACATGTGCCTCTACTATGGGGACTCTCAAATTTGTAGAGTTAGGACCAGGGGCGGACTGACCATTTGGAAACTCGGGCACTGCCCGAGGGCCCGAGGTCAGTAGGGGGCCCCATGAGATGCCCCTGGTACCTTTTTCATAGGCTTTTTGAGTTTGGGCAAGGACACAGGGGCCCCATGAGTTGTCAGTCCGCCCCTGGTAAGGACCACAGTTTATCAGGGTGCTGTGATGAGGCTCTGTGGCTTATGTATGTATTTGCAAATGTGTGCTAACTAAACCCCTGTTTTTAACGCATACTGTTAGACAGGTTAATTTGGTTGTTGGCAAGCTGGCTGGCGAGTTGACTTTCGCACCCTTTTTTTATTTTTCCTTTATTACTGACATCACATCTAATGCTGCTTGCTGCTGTGCTGCAATATAAGAAATGTTTGCTTTTGAGTTTAATACCAATTATAGCCGGTTCACACTATAGAAACCATTTGTTATACAGTAGTCCCTTGGAAGTGTTGCAAAGATCGTGGTGCTCCATGATTAAGCCCCTCCCCACAGGCCTGGCAGGCATTTGTCATTGGACACACATTGTCGCATATGTGAACATAAGATAACAAACATATAAATATATATACATATACATTATTTCTCCTTTTTTTTTTTTTTCTCTCTCCATTCTTTCTATGTGACCTTTCTCATTTTTCCTCACAATTCAGAGTGGGTATTTACCAATTGGGGTTAATTATCTTAACTATCTCTATGTCATACAATTGGTGTATATGACTGTTTATAGTGCTGTGATTGCTACCTGATGTCATTAACTATATATATTCTGTCCTAGTTTGTGAATAACAAGATCCAAGGCCCTGAGGAAGTGTTTTTTTCCACGAAACGCAACGGCCAATTAAGACTAGGATCTTATGAACAGATACATGGTTATATTTTTAGCAACATTATTCATTTTATATGTTTTTTTATGATGTTTATTTGTGATCGGGGCGGACTGACCATTTGGAAACTCTGGCACTGCCCGAGGGCCCGGGGTCAGTAGGGGGCTCCATGAGATGCCCCTGGTACCTTTTTCATAGGCTTTTTTGAGTTTGGGCAAGGACATGGGCCCCATGATCCCCTATTGCCCGGGGGCCCCATGAGTTGTCAGTCCGCCCCTGTTTGTGATACATGTATATGGTAACAATAAAATACTGTTTTTATGCACTGATATTCTCTTTTGTATTATACCTCAGGAGGTACATTTATAGCCCCAATTATAAGTGTTGTGGTTCTATTTAATATATAGGGATGGTACCTCCAGAGGGAATATTAATCCCATATGGGCAGCACAGTGGCTAAATGATTAGCACTTCTATCTGGCAGTACTAGGGTCGTGGGTTCAAATCCCAGCCATGACACCACCTGCCTGGAGTTTTCATGTTCTCCCTGTCCCTGTGTGGGTTTCCTCCCACACTCCAAAGATATGCTGGTAGGTAAATTGGCTCTAGTATGTGGATGTATGAATGTGAGTTAGGGACCTTAGATTGTACACCCCTTGAAGGTCAGGGACTGATGTGATGTACAATATATATGTAAAGCGCTGTGTAAATTGACGGCGCTATATACGTACCTGATATTAATAAATATCCATCCTCCACATATGCTTCTTGATTTAATTTTTTTTTTGCATCCGAAACGCACTGGAACTGCAAGCACTGACAACCATATAACCTACTTTCTGTGCTTTTTGGATGCAGAAAAAAAGCAACTGAAATGCATGTAGTGTGAACTTTTGACTGCAGTTTAGCTTTAATAAAATCATAACAGCACTGAGCCTGGGTTCACACTGATGCGTTTCGGAATTTGCAGTTTCTGTGCGACCGTATCACAATCATACCCCGTTCATGCAAACCGCTGCAGTTGTGTATATTAAATTAACACCCCAAAATCGGTCTGCAAGACACGGTACAATGTGCAGAATCAGATTGCATAGGTGTGAATACCCATGCGATCTGATTCTAGTGCGGACCAAAAAAAGGGTCCTGCACCTTTTTGGTGCAGATGTGGTTCGTTTTGAGTCATAGAAAAATGTATGGTTCAAATTGTACCGAATTCTCATGGGATTTGCACAGGAATGCGGTGCGTTTCCTGTGCGGATCACATGCAATATACTGCACCGCATATATGTGAACCCGGGCTAAGGGGTATTTTCTTATTTGGCTGTCATTTCCAAGTCAGCATTGCTCATAAAAAAAATCATTTTGGTTTGTTATGAAGGATGCCAGAGGTTTCAGGGGACATTATAAATACCTTCAGACTGCCTGTGGCTCCCATGGAAAGTCATCATTTTGCTTTTAATGTATAAACAACAAGCTCCAGGGCCCCAGCAATCAGAACATACACATGCCTTCATGTAGGGCTGAACAACCTTTTCCACTATCCACAAGCAGACTATTTTAAAGCGTAGTGACTGGTGTTTGTACAGTTTAGCAAATGTCACTTCAGTGCTATATTTAGAGCCGTTCCTCAGCCCCGTGTTACCTGTTTGCCTATGGGGGCCCCAAATTTCATCTTGGAGTTTGCTGTTACTGGAATAATCACAAAGCCCTGGAGGGAAAGATCTACATGCTAATAAATTATTTCATCTGTGACTTTGTAACACAACAACTTACAAACGGATCTTGTGTTCTGCTGTCAGGACGCCATACTAAACATGCATCTCAGAAGGCAACCAATATTTTGGGTTTTTTTTTGCCATTTTGACAGTTACTTATTGCTTGTATCTTTACTTGGTGTAGTCAGATTATTTACTGGACCATCAAACAGGACACTGCTTTGTAGTATATAGAATACATGAAAAAGAAAAAACAAAATGTAATGAAGTATTTACAAAACAAAAAAACTTATCTGCAGATAAGTTTCAGTGTAACAACACTGATAGACAGGGCTTTTATTCGGCAGGAACGCAGGGGGACACAGTTCCGGCACCTCCAGCACTGAATGTATGTAATAGCAAGGGGTGCTGGGGTGTGCTGGAGGGTCTATTGTTGTTGGCTGCTGGGGGATCTCGTCACTGGAGGGGGATATACTTTAATGTGGGCGTCTGTTGTTGCTGGTGGAGAATCTATTGTTGCTGGGGGGGTTATGTTGCTGGTATTGATCTGCTATTGAGGTAGAGGTCTATTGATGATGGCTGCTGGGAGGTCTGTTGTTACTGCTGTGGGTCTAATGTTGCTGATGGGTCAATTGTTGCTGGTATTGATCTACTGTTGAGGGTGAGGTATATTGATGATGGCTGCTGGGAGATCTGTTGTTGCTGCTGCGGATCTATTGTTGCTGGGGGTCGATTGTTGCTGAAATTGATCTACTGTTGAGGGAGAGGTCTATTGATGATTGCTGCTGGGAGATCTGTTGTTACTGCTGTGGGTGTATTGTTTCTGGGGGGGTTATGTTGGTGGGGGGTCAATTGTTGCTGGGATTGATCTACTGTTGAGGGAGAGGTCTATTGATGATCGCTGCTGAGAGATCTCTTGTTGCTGCTGCGGGTCTTTTGTTGCTGGGGGGGGGGTCAATTGCTGCTGAGATTGATCTACTGTTGAGGGAGTGATCTGTTGATGATGGCTGCTGGGAGATCTGTTGTTGCTGCTGCGGGTCTATTGTTGCTGGGGAGTTATGTTGCTGGGAAGTCAATTGTTGCGGAGATTGATCTACTGTTGAGGGAGAGGTCTATTGATAATGGCTGCTGGGAGATCTGTTGTTGCTGCTGGGGGTCTGTTGCTGCTGGGGTGGATTTATTATTGCTGAGGTGGTATTTTCTTGTTATCATTAGCAAATTCCATACAAATTACTTAGCACCACAAAATGATACTTGGTTCTGTATTCCATAAAAGCGGCGGTACTGGGAGGTGGGTAGGGGGTGGAAGCAAGGGATGATTCAAAAAGGGGGAGTTCCTGCACCTATTCCCTGAGAAAAAAAAGCCCTGCTGACAGATAAAGAAGATTACCAATAGTTAGATGGGGTGGCTGCATCAGTTTTCTTTTCTTTAGCTTTTTTTCCCTCTTTTCATCTGGTGATCTGGCAATACCACACCTCTTATACTGTATTGGTGAGACACAACTCTGGATGATTGACCATAGGAGGCACAACAGCCAACAGTATTGTCAGTCTAGGAAGGAGGGGATTGCTAAATGTATTAGCAGATTTAGGGGTTGAATTACTAAAGGCAAATGGACTGTCCACTTTGCAAAGTGCAGTTGCACTCTGGAAGAGCAGTTGCTCCAGAGCTTTGTAAATGAGCAGAAGCTCTGATGACTTTCATCAGCCAATCATGTGCAAGCAAAAATACTGTTTTTATTTTTCTTGCATGAGATTGGGTATTCTTTGCAAAGTTAAAGTTTACCGCGTTTACTAGGCTCTGGGGCAACTGCACTTTGCAAAGTGCACAGTCTATTTGCCTTTAGTAAATCAACCTCTTAAATACACTAACAAACTGAAGCCAAACTCTAGCTTACACTATATAATCAATTATAGAAACAGATTTTTGTTTCCTTTTTGGATAAATAAGGGTTTACGTAAAAAAATAAAAGCAGATTAGCCATCACTGCCAGTGTTAAATGGATTTTCTCATCCATAAAAAATTGATACATGCTGCTGGAGGACTTTTGAAAAACAACAGACTTGCTGGCTGGATTACCGGATGAAAATAGAAGAATTGGTAAGCTGCAATATAATAAATGTTTACTTTTTGTTTTCTAAAGTCTGAGTGTTGTTTACCATCCCTTTATTATCATCCCTGCATTAAAGTATAAAATGCTCCCCCCCCCATCCCTGATAACTTGCCTAACTCCTCCACCGATCCAGCGCTGTCCTTGCTGCAGCACTGCTGTTCTCTTTTTTTTTCTCATGGGAGACACCAAGAACAGCTGCTGTCAGTCAAACCCTGTATGGAGGATTCAGGGGATTTGTGGCTGTGCTACGCTGTGTGTGTTTATGGACACACACAGCCCGGTTCTGGGGCACACCCACACGAGTGCCCTCTTGGCAGCCGACATGCTGAGGAGGCATTCAGAAGAAGAAGGAATGGACAGTGCTGGCTTATAATGTAAAAAAAAGCCTTTATGATCACTTTAAAGTATATGTAAACCCAACAACTAAAATCTCATAATCATTAACACAATAATGTAATTTAAAAGAAGTAGTTACATAGTTAGTCTGGCTGAAAAAAAAGACAAAAGTCCATCCAGTTCAACCATTAAAAAGAAAAAAAGTAATTTTCAATTTTCTTAAATGTGCATGTTTTTAACATAATATCTGGGGATCCTGCCATACAGGTCCTTGTTTAACCACTTGCCTACCGGGCACTTATACCCCCTTCTTTACCAGGCCAATTTTCAGTTTTCAGCGCTCTCGCACTTTGAATGACAATTGCGCTGTCATGCAAGATTGTACCCATATGAAATTTTTATCATTTTTTTCTCACAAATACACCGTGTTCCAAATTATTATGCAAATTCTATTTAAGTGTCACAAAGATTAAATATTTTGTTTTTCAGTGTAACTCATGGATGGCATTGTGTGTCAGGGCTCTTTTGATCACTGAAAACAATCTCGGACACGTGTGATAATTAGATTGGCAGGTGAGCCCAACTTAAGGAAAAACTACTAAAGGAGGGTGTTCCACATTATTAAGCAGAGCACCATTTTCAAGCAATATGGGGAAGAAAAAGAATCTCTCTGCTGCTGAAAAGAGTGAAATAGTTCAATGCCTTGGACGAGGTATGAAAACATTCGATATTTCATGAAAACGTAAGCGTGATCACCGCACTATTAAGAGATTTGTGGCTGATTCAGAGCACAGACGGGTTGTGCAGATAAAGGCACATTGAGGAAGATTTCTGTCAGATCCATGCATCGGATCAAGAGAGCAGCTGCTAAAATACCATTACATAGCAGCAAACAGATATTTGAAGCTGCTGGTGCCTCTGGAATCCCACGGACATCAAGGTGTAGAGTCCTCCAGAGTCTTGCAACTGTGCATAAACCTTCTATTCGGCCACCACTAACCGATGCTCACAAGCAGAAACGGCTGCATTGGGCAGAAAAATACATGAAGACTAATTTTCACACAGTCCTGTTCACTGATGAGTACCGTGCAACCCTGGATGGTCCAGATGGATAGAGTAGTGGATAGTTGGTGGACCGCCACCCTGTTCCAACAAGGCTGCGACGTCAGCAAGGCAGTGGTGGAGTCATGTTTTGGGCCGGAACAGAGCTGGTTGGCCCCTTTAGGGTCCCCGAAGGTGTAAAGATGACCTCTGCAAAGTATGTGGAGTTTATGACTGACCACTTTCTTCCCTGGTACAGAAGGAAGAACTATGCTTTCCGTAATAAAATCATCTTCATGCATGACAATGCACCATCTCATGCTGCAAATAATAGCTCTGCATCAATGGCTGCTATGGGGATAAAAGGAGAGAAAGTCATGGTGTGGCCTCCATCCTCCCCTGACCTCAATCCTATTGAGAACCTTTGGAGCATCCTCAAGCAAAAGATCTATGAGGGGTGGGAGGCAGTTTACATCCAAACAGCAGCTCTGGGAGGCTATTCTGGCATCTTGCAAACAAATTCAAGCAGAAACTGTCCAAAAACTCACAAGTTCAATGGATGCAAGACTTGTGAAGCTGCTATCAAGTAAGGGGTCCTATGTTACAATGTAACGTGACCTGTTAAAATGTTTAAAATGTTAAAATGTTGTTAAAAGTTTGATTAAAATAGCTTTTGATTTCAGTAAATATGCTGCAAACATAACAAATGACAATTTTCAGTTCTTTACAATCTATAAAGTGTTTTGAAACTTACTGTGCGTAATAATTTGGAACAGTGCATTGTAAGTTTTTATGTTTAACAAAAATCCTGTTATCATTAGGAGGTTTGTGCAATAAAATGTGAATTGTACTCTTAATAGTTGATACCATGAGAATTATGCTGACTGTACTTTTTGCGCTATAAACAAAAAAATTTGAAAAAAAAAAAAGTTTCTTTGTTTCTATTATACAATTTTTCAAACAGGTAATTTTTCTCCTTCACTGATGTGCGTTGATGAGGCTGCACTGAAGGGCACTGATAGGCAGCACTGAAGGGCACTGATAGGCAGCTCTAATGAGGTGGCACGGATAGGCGGCACTGATAGGCAGCACTAATGAGGTGTCACAGATAGGCGGCACTGATAGGTGGCACTGATGATGGGTACTGATAGACAGCACTGATAGGTGGCAGTGACTGGCATCGCTGCTGGGCACTGACTGGCTGCACTGCTAGACACTGACTGGCGCAACTGCTGGGCCCTGACTGGCACAACCGCTGGGCACTGACTGGCTGCACTGGCAGCACTGCTGGGCTGCACTGATGGGCACTGGTGGGTGGCACTGGTGGGTACAGGTGGGTGGCACTGGTGGGCACAGGTGGGTGGCACTGCTGGACACAGGTAGGTGGCACTATTGAGCACAGGTGTGTGGCACTGCTGGGTGGCACTGGTGGGCATAGGTGGGTGCACTGATGGGCACAGGTGGGAGGCACTGCTGAGCACCGATCATCAGGGCACTGATTATCAGTGCCCTGATGATCAGTGCCGATCCCTGCTCTGACAACTGCCAGTTCTCGGCAGTACTTTCCTCACGCTCTGACAGAGCAAGGAAAGTGCAGCCGAGAACCGGCAATTGCATTTCCCGGGGATTAGCATGTCATTGGACACTGCTGATCACGTGGTAAAAGGCCGCTGTGATTGGCCTTTTACCACATCACATGTTTGTAGGACACAATGATCACGGAGATTGCCGGGGGCGCGCCGGAGAGCGCGTTCTGGGAGGACGTCATATGACGCCCTCCAGAACTGGCCGGCCGCAGTGTAGCTGTCATTTGGCTATCTGCGGTTGGCAAGTAGTTAAGTACTACCTGTTAAAGGCTGACAACGCTCTGTCCTTGTCTCTCAATTGTGCTTCTGTGTTTTCACCCTGTCGCATGTTCTTCCAATGAAGTCTACAAGCAACCATTTTGAAAAAACCATCAAACAGACTTGGTGCAGTGTTGTCACCATCATGATCAGGATCTTTCAAACCATAATGGTATTTCAGTTATGGTGAAGAACTGTGATGTGAATCTTTTTCTTTGAAATTTGATGATTCTAGCTCTGCCGCCATCATGGCAGTCCTTCATTCTATGTTATGTAATTATTATGCACATAACAAAATACAATAAAGAGAGACCCTCTTCCTTTTCTGTAACGCCAGTTCCAAGCAGGTAATTTTTGAAGTCTTGCCAGCAGATTCCCCATGACAGTTATTAGGGACTTTAGAGGGGTTTTTTTGCCCCAATTTCTTTATTAATTATTGTCAATACAAACAACTAAGTAATTAAAATAAATATATATATTAATCCAGTAAATCTAAAAACATTCATATTATCATTTTGCATTCTTCTTTTCAGCAAACAGGTAATTTTTTTTTTAATATTTTCTAGGCTCTCCCTGTTGAAATGCCTATTTTTAGAAATTAGTGGCTCAAGCTGAAATTCACTCACCACACCTATTCCACTTTTATTGGACAGCTCAGTCTGCAATGCTATTTCTTTAGCTAACCCATATTGCCCTGGGAATTCTTTGTCATGTATTAAATATTTATATATAAAGCAAAGATTGTAAACAAATAGGGGAAAAGGTGATATAAAACAATATTTTTATAATCATGCAGATGAGATTGCAGGCATTTGACTTTTCTGGAAGTACAGAATGCTGAAGACCTTACCAGAGTCCAATTGATGACAACCAAATCTGAACTTGTAACCAGCCAGAAAGTTACATAGTTAGTCTGGCTGAAAAAGGACCAAAGTCTATCCAATTCAACCAAAACGAATTATAATCCTACACCCACAGTTGATCCAAAGGAAGGCAAAAAAACAGCAAAGCATGATCCAATTTGCTCCTGCAGGGGAAAACATTCCTTCCTGATCCCCCGAGAGGCAATCGGATATTCCCTGGATCAACTTTACCTATAAATGTTAGTACCCAGTTATATTCTGTATATCTAAGAAACAATCCAGGCCTTTTTTGAAGCAATCCACTGAGTTGACCAGAACAAACTCTTGAGGGAGTCTATTCCACATTTTCACAGCTCTTACTGTGAAGAAACCTTTCCATGTTTGGAGATTAAATATCTTTTCCTCCAGATGTAAAGAGTGCCCCCTTGTCCTCTGTGATGACCTCAGGGTGAATAACTCTACACCGAGTTCACTATATGAACCACTGATGTATTTATGCATGTTGATCATATCCCCCCTTAATCTCCTCTTCTCAGAGAGAATAAATTCAGTTCCTCTAATCTTTCCTCATAGTTGAGCTCCTCTATGTCTCTTATCAGTTTGGTTGTCCTTCTCTGTACTTTCTCCAGTTCCCCAATGTTCTTTTTGTGAATTGGTGCCCAAAACTGAGCTGCATATTCCAGATGAGGTGTTACTAATGATTTGTACCGGGGTAATATGATATCTCTCTCTCTGGAGTCTATACCTCTTTTATTACAAGAGAGGATTTTGCTCGCTTTAGAAACCGCAGCTTGGCATAGTATGCCATTATTAAGCTTGTGATCTACCAGAACCCCCAGATCCTTCTCTACCATTGATTCCCCCAGTTGTACCCCCCTAGTAAGTATGATGCATGCATATTCTTAGCCCCCAAGTGCAGAACCTTACATTTATCAACATTAAACCTCATTTGCCACATAGTTGCCCAATTACACAGTGCATTGAGGTCGGCTTGTAAGTTGGAGACATCCTGTAAGGACGTTATTCCACTGCACAGCTTGGTGTCATCTGCAAAGACTGAAATGGGATTTATAATCCCAGACCCTATATTGTTTATAAAAATATTAAAAAGTAAGGGTCCCAACACTGAACCTTGGGGTACACCACTGACACCCTAGACCATTCAGAGTATGAATCATTAACCACTACTCTCTGAATATAATATTTTAGTCAGTTTTCTATCCATTTACATATGGATTTTTCCAAGCCTGTAGACTTTACCTTACACATTAGCTGTGTGTGGGGAACTGTGTCCAACGCTTTTGCAAAATCCAAGTATACCACGTCCACCACCACCCCTCTGTCCAAGTATACCACATCCACCGCCACCCCTCTGTCCAAGTATACCACGTCCACCACCACCCCTCTGTCCAAGTATACCACGTCCACCGCCACCCCTCTGTCCACCACCACCCCTACCCCTGTCCAAGTATACCACATCCACCGCCACCCCTCTGTCCAAGTATACCACGTCCACCGCCACCCCTCTGTCCAAGGTTTTGATCACCTCCTCATAAAAAGAAATCAGATTTGTTTGACAACTTCTGTCTTTCATGAATCCATGCTGGTCTGTTGCTTAAAATATTTTTTCCCAGCAAGAACTCATCTCTGTGATCTTTTATTAAACTCTCTAGTATCTTCCCAACTATAGAAGTTAAACTAACAGGTCTATAATTACTTGGAAAAGAAAGGTAAATATTTAGTCTTCTAATGCAGGAGCAATGCTTTAAAGTATTTCTTTAAAAGTGTATCTATGGTGTAAATAAAAATTCCTATATTCATTTCCACATTGTATTTCAATTATTTCTAGCCTACCCTTATTACTATGAACAATCTTGAACTTACTTTGTGAAGATCCCCACACATTTACTTCCTTGAATTCTGTGACACGTAGTCACTATGCCCTGTGAGTAGGCACTGGTGTCACACATTTCACAGGGCCTGCCTTAGAAACTACAGCAGTGCTGAGAGGAGGAGCTTCAGGAGGTGAAGTCAGTACAGGAATTATGCTTGCATGCAGCAAGGTACCATGGGATATATAGTTCTGAGAAATAGAGGAGAGGCTGCAGAGCATGCAGGAGATCCAGGAATTTGTGGAAACAGATGGCCAGCAGACAAACAATCCACAGCATGAAAGTTGATTTTTTTTTAAGAAATCCTCTATTTTGTATTGTTATTATAATTCTGATGTTATACAGTATATTGAAAGTATACACTGTGACCATAGATCTAATTTAACCACTTCCCGCCCAGCCTATAGGAAAATGATGGCCAGGTGCGACTCTTGTCGATTCGGGAGGGCGTCATATGACGTCCTTCCCGGATTGCGCCTTGTGCGTGCCCACAGGGCCGTGCTGTGGCGAGATCTGTCACCAGCTGTGTACCAAAGACAAATCTGTTTACCGCCCCAGTTGCCAGTACCATGTGAACTGCTGAGACCAATCACAGCAGATCATATGACAGTTGTAAACAATGGATGGCTTCCTTTTATGCTATCCATTGTTTACAAGTGTGTCTAGCTGTGCATGGTCACAGTAATCACATGTGCAGCTGGGCCAATCACAGCTAATCAGAACAAAAAAACCTGAATGAATCAATTTAATTCAGTTACATGCTTGCTATAAGCAATCAAAAAAAAAAATACTGATCACTTCTTCAAAGTAGTACAATGTTACTCTCAGGGGTGGACTGACCATTTGGAAACTCGAGCAGTGCCCAAGGGTCCGGGGTCAGTGGGGGGCCCCATGAGATGCCCCGGTACCTTTTTCATAGGCTTCTTTGAGCAAGGGCACAGGGGCCCCATGTTCCCCTATTGCCTCTTGACACAGGGGCCCCATGAGTTGTCAGTCCGCCCCTGGTTACTATGGTAACATTATACTACTTTGATCATAGTGTAATATGAAAAATAAAATCTTAAAAAAGGAGAAAAAAAAAATTAATAAAAAAAATAATAAAAAAATTAAAACAAATGATCGATTTTTTTTTTTCGTACTGTCACCAGTCAGTGTCCCTGATCACCACCACTCCAGTTATATGATGACGCTGTACTGCACTGGTGACAGTATGTAAAAAAAAAATTTGTGAAATTTGTTTTTTAATTTCTTCATTTTCCAACAAATTATGAAAAAAAAAAATTACAACTTCAAGAAACTCACCATGCCTCTTATGAAATACGTTGGACTGTCTACTTTGCAAAAAGGGGCCATTGGGGGATATCTGTACTGTTCTAACACTTTGGGGCCTCAAGAAATTAGATTGGCTGTCAGTACTTCAGAATTGATCAATTTTCAGATATATCCCATAGTTTGTGAACTCTATAACTTTCCTACAGGCAAAATAATAAATACTGATTTGGGTTATTTTCCACTTATAACTCCACTTTTGTTGAGAAAAAAATATTCCCCTCTGGGAGACTTATGGACATTGCAAGGATTTTAACAATCTGTATGGGAGTAATTTAATTATCAATCAGCTACCTGCAGGGCTCTAATGAGGAAATTGGCAGAGTCTGCATCCCTTTAGATGTGATTTCCCTTTGGAAAGGGGATGATAAAAATGTGACTTGAATCTTAGTGCAGACTTCAGGGAAAATCAGTCAGCCAATCACACAAGCAGGAAATATAATTTCTGGAGGGCATTCTGTACACCACACAGAACGCCTCTCTTTAGCCATATTGCACTACATTTTCCAGAAAATTACAGAGCTGCAGACAGTAAAGGAAAGGTAATTTTAACAACAATCAATTACAATATGACTTGTTTATCAATTGTATACTCTATATTATATTCTTTTTATTTGCTATTTTCTCCCATGAAAGTGAAGTTACCCATTAATGCTAATAAAAAAAAAACTTTTTTTCTAATAACTTTTTTACTTTTGGCGTCTTACCCTGTATCTCATATTTTTTTTAAATACCTTGTTTCTGATATACAAATAATTGGGAATAACAAACATGTAAAAATTTGAGTGTCGTATCAGATTTAAAGTAATAATTCTAAACGAGTACTCATGGGTTATTTTTTCTTTTTTTTTCCATTTTAACAACACAAGGTTTAATCAGTTTAAATGCATTTTCCCATTCCACATAAATACATTAACTCCTCAATCATGGGTTTATAGTCCAGGCAATTTAATTACTTTAATATAGGATGACATTTATTTTGTACAAATACATGAGCTTAAAAGCCTCTCAAATCTAACAAGAAATATGGTAACAGTAAAAAGAGCCTCCCATATTTTGTTCAAAATCTTTTTTATATTAATGATTTCATTGTACCTTGTACCTAAAATAAACTCAAAAAGTTTTTTAAGGTCTTTATAATAACACAAGCTAATAAGTTCTTATTGTGAAGCTGGTCCTTGGTTTTTCACTGTCATCAGTTGTTTTTCCATTTTGAATTAAAATACGTTTTTTTAAGCTGTATGTGATCAGGGTCTGATCCCCTGACTCATGTCCAGTGGCATCACTAAGGTTGGTGTCACCCAGTGCGGGTAAAACATGGTGTCACCCTCTCTTCCACCAAGTATAGTTCCCCCTTCAATACAGACCCCCCTCTCCGCTAAGGCTGCATTCACACTTGCACGATTTGAAGCTTGAAGCGCAAAACTCCAAAAATGCTCAGACTTAAAAAAATCAATTGTTCTCTATGGTGCCTGTTCACACCTGATCAAGCGAACAGGCACCATGGAAAACAATTTATTTTTTAAGCTTGGTGTTTTTGGATCTTCAAGCAACAAATTTCTCAAGTGTACAGACCCCCTCTCCACTAAGTATGGACCCCCTTCCCTCAGTACATACCTCTCTCCCTCGGTACAGACCCCCTCTCCACTAAGTATGGACCCCCTTCCCTCAGTACATACCCCTCTCCCTCGGTACAGACTCCCTCTCCACTAAGTATAGACCCCCTTCTCTCAGTACATACCCCTCTCCCTCGGTACAGACTCCCTCTCCACTAAGTATAGACCCCCTTCCCTCAGTACATACCCCTCTCCCTCGGTACAGACTCCCTCTCCACTAAGTATAGACCCCCTTCCCTCAGTACATACCCCTCTCCCTCGGTACAGACTCCCTCTCCACTAAGTATAGACCCCCTTCCCTCAGTACATACCCCTCTCCCTCAGTACAGACTCCCTCTCCACTAAGTATAGACCCCCTTCCCTCAGTACATACCCCTCTCCCTCAGTACAGACTCCTCTCCACTAAGTATAGACCCCCTTCCCTCAGTACATACCCCTCTCCCTCAGTACAGACTCCTCTCCACTAAGTATAGACCCCCTTCCCTCAGTACATACCCCTCTCCTTCAGTACAGACTCCTCTCCACTAAGTACAGACTGCCCCTTCCTCAGTACAGACCCCCCCCCCCTTCCTCAGTTCAGATCTCCCTCCCTCAGTACAGACCCCCTCTCCATTTAGTACAGACCCCCCTTCCTCAATACAGACCACTCCCTCAGTACAGACCCCCCTCACTCAGTACAGACCCCCCCTTCCTCTGTAAAGACACTTCCCTTCCTCAGTATAAACCCCCTTCCTCAATACGGACCCCCCTTCCTTGGTATAGACCCCCTCCCTCGGTACAGATCCCCCCTTCCTCAGCATAGACCTCCCCTCCCTCAGTAAAGAACCCCCTCAACATTTGTGCTAGTAGGGAGGTGGTGGGTTGGAAATGAGACAAAAAAAGAGGAAAAAAACAAGGGGAGGAAGTGCAGATGGACTTTAGAGGCACAGAAACCATAACCACATATTAGTAAAATCACTTGTACTTTATTTTGACAATAAGTCATGAAAAAATATCTTTCTGTTTAAAGTCATTGTACAATGTCTCCACAGACAATGTCCCACAGCCCACCATATTGTATGGAACAAAACCAATGATAAGACATACTATAAACACCAGGAAGGTCCTATGGGGGGGTGATAGACATTAAGCCACTGGAAGAATGGGCCAACATGTTTTGCAACAAACATGTTGGAAATGAGCTGCGGGGTCGCTTTGGGAGGGGAGAGGGCTTGTGCTCTTGTGAGGAAGGGGGGGGTGGATTTCAAATCCAACCCCCACTTCTAGCATAGGTCTTCTCCCCTCCAAAAGTGCCCCCCCCCCCCAGCACAGATCCTCTTAACCTACCTAAGTGATTCTGGAGAAAAAAAATTCTATCTATACATCTTATAGACATTCGCTGAGGTCATTTGTACTGTGCTTTCTAAATTATCTAACTTCTGTAGCATACAGATGTTGTAATATAATGAACTCAAAATACTAATCTAGGCAAATACTCACTTCATGCAATAATAATAATAATACAATTTACATTTTTGATTAAAATAATCCTATCAAATAATACTAAGCACCATATGCAACATACATTTTAATATGAACTCTTTTCCAGAGGTTCATAGAAAAAGAGAAAAAAAAATTGTGAATAGTTCTTTGTCCTTTTCAGTCAGACACATTGACCTCCTAATTAATCTTGCAACTTGGTATCATGTGCAGCAGGGA